GCGACACTGTATTTGCCTTAAGATTTGCAGTTTGTTGTACAGCCATGAGGAAAGCTCACGAACTTCAATCAGTTTAGATTTATGAGTGAACAAAGTAACTTCCTGCTCCTGCCTGTATGCCAAGTGAAGGAAAGCAAGTCAAAGCATGTGTGTGTGTGCGTGTGTGTGTGTGCTTGGGAGGGAGTGTTGGGGGAATTTACAACTACTTACCAGAAACGAGTCATCACTTTAGAAGCTGACACAATGAAGGTCTTCACAAAGTGCAAGTGGCTCTTTAATATATTACAACATTTCCCCTTTGGCCATAATGAGAAAACTAGGAGAAGAAAAAAAACAACTACAGTATCAGCATAAAATTTTTGGCAGAAGAATTAGCACAACCTCAAAGGAATCATAGAAATCTCTAATTATGTCTTTCTCTTACTGCTAGATGAAAAGGCTTTTCACTCTTAGCCTCTGATTTCTCCCTCTCTCTCTCTCTCTCTCTCCCTCTCTCTCGCTGTCTCTCACTTTCTCTCTTCGCCTCTCTCTCTCACATGAATACACACATCATTTGCGATCTCCTTGTTTTGAAGGTCCAGTTCATGTCCTCCTGAGCGTCAAGTCGGCAGGCATCTCTTTATGATTTTGTAATGATTAACTTTACGTCCATAAAAAACGTGGAGAAACAAAGAACTCTGGGACGAGCAAAAGAAGAAGTGAAGAGAAGAAAACATCCTCCACAGGTCTGATCTGTTCAAGCTTAAGACTTATCAAGAATGTGGTTTTGAAATCACAATTCGACTTCATGTACTTCAGTGTGTGTTTACAGAGAGCAGCTCTAATTGAAACCTTCCTATGTTGCAGTGAACTGCGGGACGGTTAACAATGGAGCTCACGGTTTTGCTCTTCCTTTTACCTGCATTTACGCTCACAATGCAAGGTAGGTGTACGATCCGTCCTCCTTGACTTCCCAGAGTAAAAAAAAAAACAAAAACTGGAAAGAATGCAATCATAGGAACAAGTCAGTTGTATTTATATGACTTTATGCATGTTTTTTTTTAATTTTTTTTTTTATTGTTGTCGTGGACATTCAGCCCACATTTCATATAGGTTTGTGGGCATTTGTTAATCCACAGCTCTTTTACGGTCCTGCCATGGCATTTCAGTCACCCTCAGCCCAGGTATTTGACTGGACCACTGCAACAGTTTAATACTTTCCTCCCCTTCAGTTGTTCTGCTGTAGATTTGCTGCTGCGTATGGAATCCTTTTCTTGTTGCATGACCCAGTTCAATGTGAGTCCATGAGTCTGACAGAGAGCATCAAGAACAAGAAGATCTGTAAATATTGGCTTATAATAAACACTTAGAGTGTCAGATAGAGCTGGTGTTTTTTTTAGTAATTTCTTCAAGTTGAACTTTCTGTAAAAGGGGAGATTGACAACTGGCCAAAATGTTCCCCACGTTTATTGGCACTAGGAATTGTTTTTCAAAAGTCATCACAAATGTCTTTCAGTCTTGACACTGGGTTTCACATCAGTATGATCCACTAACAGACTTGCACAATCCCTGCTTTTATAGTGATCAGTCATTAACTGCATTTGACTCGCAGCAGGAACCTTTCCTCCGTAACTCAACATGATTAACATACTAATACACAACATACAAGCACACACTTTTTTTTTGTTACTAACCAAATATCTACATGTTGACTTGCAGACTCTGTAAACTTGGAGGTGAGCCCCGAGATATTCGCAGAGTGTGGCAAACCGGTTTCCCTTCACTGCAACTCTTCATCACCTCAGCATGGACTATCAGTCAAATACATGGAGTGGTCCCACGGCAACATGTCTTTATGTTCGGTGGACAGCGAACAAACAATAACCAAATTACAAAGACACTATGAAAGTGACTTCGACTGCAAGTACGAAGATGGACGACTGTCCCTGGTGTTCGAAAGAATGCTGCCTCTGCAGAGCGGACAGTACAGGTGCAAACTGCGCTCCAACAAAGGAGTGGCAACTGAATACACAAAGGTGCAGCTGCAAGGTCAGAGTCTATGCTTTCACTTTTCTGGACGGAATTTTCTGAAAGCAATTGTGGTAAATGTTTAAATAAAGTATGGCATTCAGTCGTAGATTCTTTTATCATTCCACTGTTTTTAAATTTCTTGAATTTTTGTGAAAAAGTAACTGGGAATGTGTAGGAGCCGTAGGAGATGTGTACAATGTCGTCATGGACACAGTAAACGAGAGTCTGAGTCTCGAATTCAGCACCAGATGACAGATTGGTTTGCCGATCTGTTGCTGTCCAGTTTCCCTGAGGCTGTGAATGCAAACTGTGGCCTCAGTGGTTCCTGGTCCAGTATTCCGCTTTTGTAGCTCATTTGCTTTAAGGACTTCCATGTTTGTTCGGTCATGGGAATCACACTTTGGTTTTAAGGAGTAATTATTTAACCCCTGGTTGTCTTCTTGGATCTGTGGAGGGGCTTGCTGTTCTTTCCTGACCTTTTAAAGAGCAGCAACAAGATTTCTTTTGTGGACTGTGAACTGTGACAAACTGGATATTTTCTAATTTTTGCATCATTCTCTGTTAACCCAACAGATGTTTGTGCATGATAATTGCTGTAGATTTGCAGTTTCTAAAACACTCTGGCTCCAACAAGCATACCCATTAAACACATAAATCTGTTTTCTCCATTCTGGCAAAATGTTTTACCAACTGTAGATGCCTAAATCCACTGACTTCTTGTCATGGATGGTGCTTTCATTTGAGTCAAGAAGCTGTTAACCATGTATTTTTAATAAATTGACTATTGAGTGTTAATGCAAGATACATTAAGAACTTGCACAATATTTGAGAATATGATGTGGAAAAAGCAATTTCATCACATTTCTCATCTTTTCTTTAGAGTTCTGTGGGAATGTGGAAGCTGTTTTAAGGAGTGATGGTCCATCCTGCATCTTCAACCACGTCTATCCAGACGGGGATGTGCACTGGTTTCACGACTCTCGTAACGTCTCGGACGGGTCCGTGATCCAGCACACTGCTAAAAGTATCGACAAACACGGCTGGATGATCATACAGAGTTGGTTGACTCTAAACGGTACATCAGAGAGAAGTTCACACAAGCCATACAACTGTTCTTTGAAAAGTTCTGCTTCTGGGAAATACATTGCAAGTACTTTAGTTCAGAAACATGAACGTAGGGCCGTTCCAGGTGCTATAGGGTTCGACCGCTCTGCAGGAAACAGAGAGAGCTCACAGCAAGCTGGGAAGATTGCTTTGGCTATTTTAGTCCCACTCATTTCCATGTTAAAATAATGAACTGTGAAAAGTAAAAACTCACTCTGGGGAATGATAAAACGTCAGAGTGAATGATTAGTAATCTGTACCATCATTAATAAGAGGGTACTCAGAATCTATTAAAGAACTGTGGCAACCAAACAGATGGGTGAGTCATCTTGCCAGGCTGGAATATTTCTAATTCTACCTTTTAATTCTTGGCTCAGGTAAACAAGAAAATTACAGGCTGTTCAAGTGTGATAACAAGGATGCTGATAATTTTAAACTATAAAAGCACTTGGCTGGCAGAGAGCGTTAGATGAGGGAACAGGGCTTGTTGGATTCCAACACACAACTTGGAAATACACCTACAGAAAGCACACGCTAACAGTCTGGCTGCTACAAACTAAGTTAATGTCAGAGTAATGAGTTTTGATAGCTGGGCAGTGCGGGAAATAAGTATTTTTCAAGCTTGCCCGCTGAAAAATGTAGAGGTCTATAATTCTGAGGTAAGGTGATTAATTGTAGATACTTTTTGAACAGCATTTAAAATATATAGAGAAAATTGCATTGTATGGTTGATAAATATTTTATCAATTACCAACCAGCAAGACATCAGGCTTTCACAAATCTATTAGTTCATCTTTTTTTAAAAAAAAAAAAATCCCTCCTATAGTCCTTTCATTACCTGTGTTAATTACACCTGTTGGAACTAGTTACCTGTGTAAATGACAAATGTTCACAAACTCAATCAGATCCCAACCTCTCCAGCAGGGGAAACACCAAAGAGCAGTCTAAGGACAGGGACAACACTGTAGATCTTCAAAGAACTGTAGAAGGAATGGTCCTGAGGACGATAGGCAAGCAACTTGGTCAGAAGGCAATAAATAACTGTTGGTGAAATTATTAGGAACCTGAAGAAACACAAGATGATTGTTAATTTCCATCAAACTGGGGCTCCATGCAAGTTCTCACTTTGTGGAATAGCAGTAATCATGAGAAAGGTGACTTGTCAGCCTAGCCTTAAAGGTTACCATAGTAACACATTCTGCTGTCATGGATTAAAATCCTGCAGTGCGTGACCATCTGATTGATCCAGAGGACTCATTGGTTCAAATGAGACCAAAATAGAACTTTGTGACATGAACCCCATCAGCCTGAGTATAAACCTAAGAAAACCATCCCATGTGGGTGGAAACATCATGCTTTTCCTGTAAAACTCACTGGATAACTTTACCTCATTGAGGAAAGGATGTATGGAGACACCAACCGTGACATTTTGCCTTACAAACGCCTTGGTTCAGTACCACTATTCAAGATGGATTATGCTACACTGATGGGCCTTTCAGCATGACAACGACCTGAAACCTCTGCTTTCTTTGTAAATGGAGAAACTTGAAAAATATGTGGCATATCAAATACTTATTTTCCACACTGTAAGTCTTCAGACCACATATCATTTTAATAATATGCTTTGCATTGCAAATGCTGATGTAATAATAATGTGGGTGATTGACTCCACTGTGCATCACTCTCAGACGCACAGATATGGAGGATAAAATACTGTAAATATTTTATAAAAATACACACGCACTGTAAATGATCAGACCCGTTCGTGGTATGCAGAACGATGCTGCCCTCTGGTGGTCCAATAGTTTGTAGCATCAAATTAAAAACAGAATAGAAATTTATGTTTCATTTATGGAAAACTAGTGCATACTTGAGCGTAGCAATCATCATAGGTTCGTATGTGATTTCTTATTGTTCACCAAATTACATTTCAGTAACAATATAGCCGTTAAAAATATTATTAGAGACATAATTTCCCCATTTATTTATATTTTTTGATGAACTCACCAGCAAGACTATGCTACACTGATGAACCAGAGGCTATAAAGGGAACATTTTTGGATTTATAAGTAGTTCTACTGAGTAGTGTATTCATTGAAATCCACTAATCAAACCCAAAACAGTTTGTCACAAGTCTCTGTTGTGGTTAATTCATTTCCTATTTTAATTTTGAATTAACTCAATTGAACAGTGATGCACTGTTGTTGTGAAATATGAATAAACTGAATTAAGTTAAAAATGTTTCCTATATCCGAAGCTAAAGATATTTGATCCAATCGGCACCGTTGATTTTAAACTGAACTGATTATATAAAAAATGCTGATTAAATAAAACTGGCAGTATACACATATAAATCTAGTGCTGCTGAACATGAGTTTTGCCCTTGTATGGTCTAACATTTCTCCAACTCAGCCTGATTTTCTTCGCTAGACCACAAGTCAACATGAATAATGATTGTAATATACAGTGTCCACACTAAAATTGTATTATCCTGGCTGATATGAAAGTAGGTAAGTAGCAATTATACATCATTTAGTACTCTTGGAAAATATTGTAAAATCCCTTGTTAGAACTGAAAACAGCTAAATGGCCAATAGTACAACATTAGTGCAGCTGTAAGTGGGTGAACTGCAAGTAGACCCACAATTTAAATGCTTTCCCACAGAATCAGATGCCAGGTCTTATACTTATTTGGTTTGAAGAAATGTAAGAGAGTGTTTGAATGATGGAGAATTTGATATGGATTGATATAGATAAATAGGAGCTTTTTTTTTATCTGTTTGCAAATTTTACTTTGTTTAAAACAGTCAGCGAAGGTAAAATGACAGTTTTAATAGGCCTTCACCATGAAGGCAAATGTAGCTTCAGGGTAAAAGCTCTTATTTTCTAACGCTTCAGTGCTCCTTGTTCCAGTCATGATAGCTCTCTGCCTGTGATGTCACTGAATAAAGGGAAAGGTTGAGCTTTTAAAGGCCAGATTAGTCACACACATGGGATGTAGCAAGACTGTAGTGCAGCTCACTGTGAGGAAATACTTCAAGGTGACTTTTACCAGTGCAAGGTGCACAGATGCATCCTAACATACGTACAAACTAACATTGAGTTTTAACCCAGATCTCTTAATGTTTTTTTTTATTTCTAAGCAACAAGTTTCATCAATATCTATAACTAGCCTTTGAATAAAAAATAAAAATCTAATATATATATATATATATATATATATATATATATATTATTTTCTGAGCTTAAATTGTGCAAAGAGGGGATTTAATCATGGGTAAATTACTTAATCTTGTGATTTTTAAAAATAATATGTTGCATGTTTTCTGATTGTTATTTTTTTATTTTGTATATTTCTTTTAGTTGTGTGTAACTGCTGTGATTCTTACTTCTGAAGACATGAGAAATTAGTTCTGTATTATTTTCTCCTAAATAACTTTATACCACTGGAGGCCAACATACTGCATAATATCTTGTGGCTTAAAATGTCATTCAAACTTAGAGAGATTGTCAGTAAATCGATAAAGCCATATTCTAGTCACTGTTAACTGTAAAGAGGAAAATGTGTGAAACACAATTTGATCCTTAAATAAATCTTTAAATAGCTTTAAGGAAACTTGTGTAATATTTTGCTGTGGGTCAAAATCAACCTTTAAAAGAGTTTTTTAATTTTAAATCTGCTGATGCTTTTCTGAAATGTTTCACAATGATAATAAGTTGCATCAGTGATTTTTTTTTCCAGTGCCTGAGTGAAATGATAAATTGCATATCAGTTTTGTAAATTCCTATCGTCCTGGGAATAATATTTTCAGTCACTTTCTTAGCTGGCACAAATAAAAGACTGACTGGTAATGTGTGGAAAAGTGTGATTCCTTTCACGGATGCCATGCAGAATTAAAGTATTCTGGCAACACTAAAGGGAAGTTCTTCTCTTTTTGCATGGCTCCCCAAAACAGAGCCGACTGTTTCAGCTTCCAAATCTTAATCTATTATCATCTTTCACCTCATATTTTAGCTTAACTTGGTAAATGTAAACGTTTCGAATCTTAATAAATCCGTTTTCCATAATTTTAGGTACTTCTTCTGTTACGAAAGCAGTCATTCTTTCTTCTTGTGTTATTTCAACCTTTAATTTTTTTTATACACAAAAGCAAATGAACAAAACATTGCTTTGTCTTGTTTTTAATCAAAAACGGACCAAAAATAATTGTGCATGTATGTATATATTTCAGTTTTAAACATTGCATAGAGCTGCAGCATTCACCTGCGACCACCAGATGGAGCAAACTCGCCATGAAGCAGATTTTGTAGCTCCAGACTGAGAATCTTGTGATCTTGGGTACAAGATGTTCACGGTCTGTTGACAAGTTTAAAGCGCCGTTCTTGATATGCAACGATTGTATTTCTTATAAGGCAGGAATAATTTTACAACACAAAAACATGGATGCAAGTATAGATATTTATCAGTTTACAGTCTTTTGTTTTTACTGCACTATTTCTTAACTTTGTGCAGCTACGGTTGCCGTTGGTGCAGGTGAAAATTGCTGTTGCCAGACTTTAAGGATTTGTCATTTGTAAGCTAATAAAAAATAAACCTGCATTTTTATAAGGCTCCCTGCGGCTTTGTTGCCTCGTTTCTGTGTTTGAGGTTTCGCCTGTAAGCACCTCATCTGGCCAATGTACACAGTGGGGGTTGTTAGGTCAGTTTACAATGACAGGAGTGTATGCTAGGCTTCTGGTCAAGTTCCTATGGCAACTGAGAGGTTCTTTTACCGTCTGCCCCATCTTAATTCGTGTTTGCGTGTGTGCACTTGTGTGTGTGTGTGTGTGTGTACAGCCAAATATCCCAGTGGGGTGTTATCTCCTCCCAGCAAGGTTTGCCTTATCGCCCTGACAGCCGGCTGGTTGAGGTTCAGCAGAGTGGCCTAACTAGGGTACATACAGATGAGCAGCAGGGAGGGGGAACCAAACGTATCGAAACAAAGATAAGAAGCCATGAACGATGGAAACGGTGAGCAGGGATGGAAGGATGCAACAGAAGAAAAAAGTGGAGGGACAATAGAAGTGGATCACAGAGATAAGAGCCAGTTTATGTCAACAAACCGCAGAGATTTACATGAAGCACTCACTCATAGCCTTTTACCAAACATTACTGCAAGTATGAGATAAATCTGGACTAATTGTCCCAACCTCTCAAGTCTGTACTGTTCAGTGTAAATAGTAATAGTTTCTGCAGACTTTTCTACCTGAAAGCATACACCTACTGAGCAATCTACCCACACACAATATGCACATTTCATTCGAAACAATGCTGGATGATGAGATTTTGAATCCAGAACCAGTATTCACCTTGGAAAACCTGTTGTTACCTGGCAACATGTAATGTGGAGTGTTTTGTTGGTAAAAATGACATGCTTCATAGCGATGTAAATCCATAGCAGGAACTGTGCACACATGTTGATTTCCCTGAGCAGCTTCTACATGTATAGAAAATCCAAAGTGAGGAACACACAGTAGTTTCTAAATCGAAGGGTAAAATTACACAAATTAATGGAGAGGAAGAAAAACATACACCAATCAGGTGTGGCCCACCTGCCGTGTTTGTCTCCGTTTGCCGACAGCACAGCCCTGGACTTCCCTCGGCTCCTTGTGGATGGTGATTGGTGGGAGTCTCTCCTCACTCCTTCAGGGTAGTTGTGGATGTCCTGGTGTCACTAATCTCCTTCTTGCCCTGTCACTAACTGTCACAATAACTTGGTGTAAGGGTTTAGAAAGACAAACCAGAATAAAATGGGAAAATGTATAGGTAAATATTAGTAACTGTTACTTCTGACTGCCACTTTGATTTTGATTTTTTTAATGACAGTAGGACTCTAAAGTTTCAAGTGTTTAGGGGTAGGAGTTTATAAGTTCTCACTTCTTCCTACCCCATTTTTGAGCATGATATGTTAACTGAAACAAAAAAATCTGTATTTTCTCTTCTTTCTTATGCACTTCTTGTTACTGTGCACTATTTTATTTTATATTTGTATCATGTTCGAATAAAATTTCATTTCATTTCATTTCACTCAGTTTGTGAGGACGGCCTGATGTAGGCAGATTTACACACTGGATCATATTCCTTCCCGTTCTTGACGATTTAACTGAACTCCAGGGGATGTTTGGCACCATAGAGGTTTTTTTTTAATCCATCCTCTGACTTACACATTTCAGTGACCTTTTCTCTGATTTACTTGGAGTGTTCCTTTGTCTTTGTGCTGTAATGGTAGCATGAAGTACAAAAGAACCCTAGTAAATACTGATTAACCAGGATTCCTAGTTAATCAGGAGTACTGATTAACCAAGGGGATGGACCTTCCAGGCGCAGCTGTCTTTACACTACAGTCACTTGAGACACGCTCTCTGCACTTAGGTGGTTTTAATGCCACTCATTGTAAGGACTACTGTCAACCAACTGGACCTCTGTTGAATTAGGTTAGTCAAATGAGATGAGTATTTATGGAGTCACTTATTTCATGTTACACATGGAGAAATTAGTTTTCACTTTGACATGAAAGAGTTTTTCCTTTGTATATTCTCCAGATAAAATAATGAAGAAATAATCAGCAGCATTCATGTCACCAATCCTTGGACATAATGTTATTCCTGATCAGCGTATTCATAGGGAAGGATTTTCAGATATAGTGAATATAATTTCTGCCATAATCAACTCTTCTTCTTATCTATGTAGTCAATCAGGGAGTATTACTAAGCTGTTTTTTCTGATCAAACATAACTGCTTTATTCTCTTTTGAAGATTCTTTGTAACTTGGAAGGCAACAAGAGGTTCAATCATTTCACAGTGTTCAGTGTGAATGCACACCCCTCAAAGGCTTTATACAACAGCTCTACAGAAATCCATACACGAACATCTCAGTGAGAAAACTTCGTTTGCATTCACCTCTGAGTATTGACATGCAAAGTTACATAAGGAGAAGCTGCAGACGTAGGTGCTAATAAAAAGAAAGATTATCTCAGGGCTGATTCTCTGTATTCACAAGTGTTTTGGATCATTGGTGAAAAACGTCGCCTCAGTGAGATAAAAGATGATCTTCTACAACAACTGCAGCATTCTGTGCACTGTGGTTTGGTAACAAAATAGTCCAACTGAAGAGAGTTACGTCTGGTGAAGACATAAATACACACTCAATGGAACGATTTTCAGGAATGACGACTCAAAAAAAGGGGTATTCTGAACAGACTGCAAATCTGAATAAATACATACATTTGAAATACTTTATTTTCAAAATTATATCAGGGCGTTTAACAGCACGTTTTCTCTGGAATTGATTTTGCCTCTTGGCCAGACGTAAACCTGCTCCTTGAGTCTGAACTACAAAGTGCAAAGGAAAGGGGTCATAAAGGATGGATTTTTTTTTTTTTTTTTTTTTGAAGTTGCATCATTAATGTATTGGCAGCACGTTTTGCTGTTTGCTGTGCATTTCCACCTGACAACAGTAGATTTTGTCGTTTTATTGATTTTGGAAGCAGTACAAGTAGGAACTTTTTTCATTACGTTTCATTCAGTATTTTAATAGAAATATTAAACATTTTGTGCGATTATAATCAGGGTGTGTAAATAATTCTGAAACTAATTGTATTTATAAATGGATTTAGTAAACACTAATTCGAGAAACATATTTCTTTTGTAAATTATTCCAGCCACCCTGTACCTTGTGCATTTCCCGTTTACTCTTGTAAAGCTGTTAAATGCTGGACTGTTTAAATGTAGAGCTATGAAATCTTTACACAACCTGCGTCTGGAGTCCTGATTGGTGTGATATATAGAGTTAAATATCTATTTCATGATTTGTTTACTGTTTATTTAACAGAAATGTATTTAACTAGAACCCATGTAACATAAATTCAGTGAGAGTAAACTAGTTCGCTGTCTTGGTCATTTAAAAAAAAATAACCTAGACAACAAAGAACGTGATTCACAGAAACCACCAGTTTGTCAAAAAATCCCAGCATGAAAGTGAAAGGGGAACCATGCTGGTGGTTTACTGAAAAGACATTTAGATATTATCAAAAGCAAAGCAAGAGACACATACAGCAAAAGGAAAGCAAGGAAGACATCAATAAAATGGGAAAAACTTTAATTGGATGGATGGATGGATGGATGGATGGATGGATGGATGCTAAACTGTGAAGCTGTAAAGAAGCTCAATTCCCAAATTTCAAGGATTGTCTCTACAAACTTTGCTTTCACTATTAAAACACATCATAGACTTAACTGAGCCTTGGGATCTCTAATTTTTCAAGCCCAAAGGAGAATCATTGAAAAAGTTGCCAAAAATTAAGTCTGAACTTTCTTTGAAGTGAGAGTTCAGAAAAATGTTCTGAAAACATAAAGGGATTCTCTGTGGACTTGTGTTTGGCAAGAAGCTGCAGATTGTTGCTCTGGTTGTGGCTTAATGAAGGTACAACATTAATATGTTAATATATACTGTATATATACTGCGACAGACTGGCGACCTGTCCAGGAAGTACCCCGCCTCTCGCCCGGAACGTTAGCTGGAGATAGGCACCAGCACCCCTCCCGACCCCACTGAGGGACAAGGGTGTTCAGAAAATGGATGGATGGATGGATATATACTGTATTATTATAATGCCAGAGTTTTGTTTATAGCGTCAGAAATCATAGATGAGGCTCTGTCCATATCTGAACATTTATATCAATTTTCAAGTTTGTGGCTTAAATGCTGTTGCATTTAGGGCTGGACTTTAACACCTTCAATATAAACTATTCCATTGTAATGTTTGTCCTGCTCTACTTGTTTTTCTTTTTAGATTTAACAGCTGCTTGGCTGGTTAATGCTCTCGTCAGCCAACCAAATCCAGTTTTTGAAGGCAGATGTCATGCAGCTTTTACACATCTTCCCGGTCCTGAACCTGAATCAAATGGCTGAATCGCCTCCCCAGAATCCAGTCAAATGTTCAAGAGTCCCGCTAATGACCTCAGTATTTGATTCAGGTGTGATGAACCAGAGACACATCTAAAAGTTGTGGGATTTCAGCCTTCAAAGCCTCGATTTGAAGACCTTTGACATGCTCTTCTTATATTCAGCTGTCTTTACACTGAGATTTAACAACAGACTGAACTCTTTTTAAGAATTGCACAACACCCTTGTTAATTTTTTTTAAATCTATAAATAAAATTGGAAACAATGCGTCATTTGTCTTTCATCTTATTATGTATAACTTTAGATGGTCTACCACATGCATTTATGATTATATGAAAACCTTTGCAAAGTGCCATATACATGCGTGTTTCTCAAGTGGAACCAAGCACTTTGAAGTGTTTCAGGAGAAGGTAGTTATTTGCTGGCTGAATGTAAAGCGCTTCCAGTCATAATAATGGTTCCGGCCCTTGAAAGGAGGTGGCCTTCTCTTCAGAGGGGATCAGTGTGGAGATGGCAGAGCCAATTTAAAAACCATTCTGAAATGCTAGCCCGAGTCGCATCCCATTATGGCATAGAAAGTAATTCTATGATTGAATTTTCATCTATATTTTTCCCTCGGCTCGCTGATGACTCATTTTTGGTGAGCTTCAGATGCTCATATAAGCATGCAGTGGGCTGTTTTATGTAACTGTCACAAATTAAAATCAAATGCCATGAAGATCTTTTTAAAAGGATGGCTGTTGAGATCTGAAAGTAATACAACTTTATTAATTTGAAAAATGGGTCATACAAAGTTATGCAAATAAAGATTATTAAAATATCTTATTAGCTCCCAACAAGTTGGTTTTTTTTTTAAAACAAATGTTTTAAGCGTCTGACTCCATCTCCATTGGATATTCTCTCACGTGAATAAAAGTCTCGATTGGATGGGATGGTGGAGAATCAATTGGGAAGCATGCATAATGACTAAGGGCATAGCAACATAAATCTTAGGTATAACTGTATTATTACATTTGCTGAGATACTCTTGATTAATCCCTAAAAATAAACCATATTAGATCATCGGTGGGGAGAATCTGATGTACAGATGGAACATGGCATGCAGTGTTTTTTCTTAATCAGCCATTAAAAGCCTTAAGCAGTGTCTGCCAACTGTACCAGAAAATTGACAAAATTCTGTCTTTACTCCATCCATCCGTCTTCAGCCAAGATTGAACCAAAGGGGCAAAAGGTGAGTGAGAGAAATCCATGTTTCCGTCTCCCAGCTGACACCCTCCAGGTTATTATCAGGGGCCCCAAGGCATTCACAGACTAAATATATAGTTCCTTAAGCAAGAACTGTGACTTCAACGGTGTGATTTCCCAGAAGGGACAAAAAAAAAAGAAAAAGAAAGAAAATAGCTTCAAATCGAGCTGCTAAGGAGGAATCCTGATCCGATGTTTGGTCCATCTGACTCCTTTTAAGTTTGTGAGCATGATGAAAGTCTTGTCCTGAACAGGACCACATCGTCTGAGAGGAGAAAAAAAAAATACTCTGAGGTTCCCAACCCAGAAAATCTCAGTTTTGAGACGCTTTGAGTTCATGTCCAGAGAAAACATGACCGATGACAAGTGGCAGCCCTGAGGGAGTTCAACCCTCGCTGGGAACAGGATCAACTTTGTGCTGAGAAAGCAGAAGTAGCTCTTGCTCAGGATCTGGAGCCTTGTCCAGATCCACAAAAATCATGTAGACTGGAGCAGATTCGTCTTTTACTGGAGCAAAATTGTTGTTTTTGCGTTTCTCATCCTATATCTATTAAATGATTCACCTAATTGTGTTCAAATATGTTGTTTTTGTGACTATTTGTGGTAGATTATGTAGGGATATTTTTTACTGTGAATACAGTAGGACATTGAAAAATAAAAGAGTCAGACCAGCACCTAAAATCTGGTCAGTAGAGGGGGGG